TTAAGGGAGTACTGGGATAGCTATTTCTAACCTTATTAGGTTTCATCAGCCAGACATACCCTTCTGAGATTCGAACCTGGGCTGTCTGCATGTTAAGCAGAGGTGTTAGCCACTAGGCCACAGGCTCTTTCTCGCTTTGTTAGCTACAAGAGACAGGGGAAGAGGATGAATGCTTTTGTTTGAACACCCTGTCGGCCCATATATATATATATATATATACATACATGTATGTATGAGTGTTTGTGTGTGTGTGTATGCATGTATATATATCTCCCCAGAGCATGAATGTAGTTATTCTATATTTATTATTATTGTTTGATTCATTTTATAGACAGTGACACTTTTCTGCTATACAATGAAAATCTTGATCTTTGCCTAAAATTACAAGAATCTCGTTCCTTCACCTTGGACAACTGCAACAAACACAGCGACTGGCAAACTTTTAAGTGGGTATCCGATTATCAGTTATTGAATATGGCAGCGAAGTTATGCCTGAGTGTGCCTTCAAAAACAAACATGGTTCCAGTTACACTGTCCCCATGCAATGAAACCATTGAATTACAGAAATGGGAATGCAAAAATGACACACTGTTTGCCAGCAAAGATCTGTTTTTAAGTCCTGCAAATGGACCTAACACAGGGCTTATACTATCAGAAAACCTCACCACAAAAAGTGTTTGGAAGATCTACGGAACAAAGAAGAGCTTGTGTGCCCAGAAATATGAAGGTAAATATCCGAACATTAATCCTTCTTGCTGAATTTGCTTACCTAAATTCTCTTCCTCCTCTTCCTCCTCTTCTTTATCTGAAAATTGGATACTAAAGATATAATTTCAAATTATATTACTATCTAGTTGTCCTTTAACATATTAGTGATGTTGTCTTTTACTCATCTGAGAAAAAAAATGGCACGTACAGGTAGTCTTAGACTTTTGGCCACAATTGAACCCCAATTTTCTGTTGCTATGCAGGGTAGTTGTTAAATAGGTTTTGCTCCATTTTATGACCTTTCTTGCCAGGGTTGTTAAGTGAATCATTGTAGTTGTTAAATTAATAACATGGTTGTTAAGTGAATCTGGTTTTCCCATTAACTTTGTCTGTCAGAAAATCACAATAGGGGATCACATGACACTAGGACACTACAACTGTCATAAATATGAACCAGTTGCCAAGCATCCACATTTTGATCATGTGACCATGGGGATGCTTCAATGGTTGTAAGTGTGAAAAACAGTCATAAGTCACTTTATTCAGTACTGTTGTAACTTTGAACAGTCACTAAATGAATGGATGACTAAATGAATGCAGGACTACCTATATTCTAAGACATAAATTCTGAAAAAAATCCCTGAGTTAAGTAAACATGGTTACATGTATTATACAGAAACTGTATGCATGCCTTAGAACTAAAAGCTGAGATATTTTTGTATAGCATTTCTACTCTCATTTTAGTACTTCTCAATCTAACAGGAATAAGTTTGATTGTTTTATATAGCTCTATTCACTATAGAAGGCAATTCCTTTGGAGCACCTTGCGTATTTCCTTTCAAGTATATGAGGAAATGGTATGCTGAATGCATAGTTAATGATGACGAACACCAACGACTTTGGTGTGGAACAACTCCAGATGTGGATAAAGACTCTTTAACTGGATATTGTCCAGTAAAAGGTAAACTCTTATCTGATGATACATTTATTTATTTTGTATTCTACCTTTATTATTTTTACAATCAATTCAAGTCAGCAAACATATCAACATACTTTCCTCCTCCTATTTTCCCTACAACAACAACTCAGCGACGTGAGTTGGACTGAGAGAGAGAGTGACTGGCTTACATGGCTAAGGCAGGATTTGAACTGACAATCTCTCCTTTTTAGGCTAGTGCTTTAACTGGCTCTCATGCAATGGAATATACATATCTATATTTAAAAATAAGCCTTTTATAACAGACTGTTTCATATTCACTATTATTTTAAAACAGCTGTGCCCTGTAGGTGGTGTCACAACATCTTGGTAATGTGTTATCAAATAGAACTTAATACATTTTAATACATTTTAAAGAAAGATTAATTAAAATTTTCAAATCACCCTTTGCAATATAATTAGATGTAACTATTTTGTTCTCAGTTAACGTGCTTATGAGCATGTTTTGCATTTGTTAAATTGGGTGTATTTTTTGGCAGAATCTGGTGAAAAGAGGTTAGACTGCTACTGGGGAAACCTGGGTTCAAGTCCCACTTAGCTCCAGAAGCTCACTGAGTGATTTTGAAAACTCTCTCTTATTCCAACCTACCTTACAGGGTTGTTGTTGTGGGGAGAAATGAGAAGAAAGCATTTTGTGTACCACCTTCAGGCCCTGCTAAAGGAAGGAAGGAAGGATCAGAATGTCAGCAGAGTCATTTTGGCATAAAGTTATCTCTTTGACATTTCATTAATGTAATAATAATAATAATAATAATAACAACAATAACAACAACAACAACAACAAAGTTGGAAGGGACCTTGGAGGTCATCGAGTCCAAGGCAGGAAACCCTATACCATTTCGGACAAATGGCTGTCCAGTCTCTTCTTAAAAACCTCCAGTGTTGGAGCATTCCGCTTCTGGAGGCATGTTATTCCACTGGTTAATTGTTCTGTCAGGAAGTTTCTCCTTAGTTCTAGGTTGCTTCTCTCCTTGATTAGTTTCTATCCATTGCTTCTTGTCCTGCCTTCAGGCGCTTTGGAAAATAGCTTGACTCCCTCTTCTTTGTGGCAGCCCCTGAGATATTGGAACACTGCTATCATGCCCCCTCTCGTCCTTCTCTTCATTAAACTAGGCATACCCAATTCCAGCAGCCATTCCTTATATCCTTTGGCCTCCAGTCCCCTAATCATCTTTGTTGCTCTTCTCTGTACTCTTTCTAGAGTCTCAACATCTTTTTTACATCACGGTGACCAAAACTGGATGCAGTATTCCAAGTGTGGCCCTACCAAGGCATTGTAAAGTGGTATTAATACTTCACGTGATCTTGATTCTATCCCTCTGTTAATGCAGCCTAGCAGTGTGTTGGCCTTTTTGGCAGCTGCAGCACACTGCTGGCTCATATTTAAGTAATTGTCCACTCCAAGGTCCCTCTCACAGTTACTACAATTGAGCCAGGTACCACCTATACTATACCTGGGCATTTGGTTTTTCTTACTTAAATGCAGAACCTTACTTTTTCACCATTGATTTTCATTTTGTTAGATAGGGCCCAATGTTGAGGTCCATCAAGATCCTTCTGTATCTTAAGCCTATCTTCTGGAGTGTTGGCTATTTCTGCCAGCTTGGTGTCGTTTGCAAATTTGATGAGTTCCCCATCTATTCCCTCATCCAAATCATTGATGAAGATGTTGAGGAACACTGGGCCCAGAACAGAGCCCTGGGGCACCCCACTACACACTTCCCTCCATGTACAGTAGATGCGGTTCCATTGAGGACCACACGCTGAGTACGGCTGGTCAGCCAGCTACGGATCCATCTGGTGGTGATGCTGTCTACCCCACATTTTTCTATCTTGTCAAGTAGTAGGGTGTGATGTTTTATACTGTGAGTTCATATTTCCACAAAATGTAGAACTTGTTCTTAACCCTCTTTTTTTAGACTATATCAAAATATTATATAAAACTGACCTCAATTGTGCCTTTTCTGCATCAACGGGCAGCACTGATCTTGGCTAACCAGATAGCATTAGTAATGGGATAGAAGAAGACAACCAGGAAATCTGAAGGTTGTAAGCTACACTAAGATGTTGAAGAAAATCCCAAAAGAAATCAGTGACAAAGCACTTTAGTTCTGTTTTCAGTTATCAGGATCAAACTTCTCGTCAGGGAATCTTATTTTTTTTTAATAGTCTACTTTGTTAAAGAAATACATATATGTGATTTGGAATCAAAGTATAATAGTAAGACACTAATATTTTCAGAGGATTCCTGATTGCCTGGAGGGATCTCTATGAACCCCATAAGAAGCGTTATTCTCATGGCTGGCAGAAGAAGCCAGGCAACCATGTGGGTGCTAGGATGAAACTAGCATGACAATCCCTTGTTCTTAACAAATGAATGTTCTCTGATTACTTTAAGAGCTCTCCACTAGGTGGTTTGTTTATTTGTTTGTTCTGGTTTTCTAACTCATAGACTGGGAAATAGGAAAGGTAGCTAGAACTGCTAAAATCAGCACTTCTAAAACCACAGTCACCATACATACATTCATATGTTCACTCAGCAAGTTCCTGATTAGTAGTTTCTTAAAAATTGTAACTTATCCTTCCTTACTTCTTTTTTTTAAAAATACTCCTCATAATTGGAGGGATGAGGGTTATATTTTTCTTCTTCTTTTGAGCTAGGCTAAAAGAGAGAATGACTGAGCTTGGCTGTTTTGTTGCAGATGTTTCATTACCAAACTAGGTAACACCATCCATGTTAGTCATCCTCTTAATGCCTGGAATGGAGTCATTAAGAGAAAGTGATAATACAGAACAAGGGTTCTTGTGGTCCTTTTGCCATCTAAATGCATGATGGCACTTTGGGCTACTATCTTTATGTTCACTCTCCCACAGAATGACTTAAGCTGAGCCTCATTATTTATTTTACATTTTATTTATTTGCAGTAACATCTAATCAAATAAAAATAATAAAATAAATGAAACAAAACAAAAACTAGTTAAATATTAAAAAGTCATGTTATTGTCACAAATGCAGCCTAGATCCAGTTCCTGCACAAAAATCTATCAGAAAGAATGGTCTTAATAGTTTTGCAAAGTGTGAGCAAAGTGGCTGATGATCTGGGGACATAATGAGAGGCTACCACAAGAATACCTAGGGTTCCTAATCCATTTACTATATGTGGGCTTTCAGGATGTATGTACAGGAATGGGCAGATTCTTGCTAAGAGAGATTCTAAATAAAACTATAGGGGTGCCAAGCAATGTATGGCTTAAAAGTTAAAACAGCACATTAGATTGGGAGTCTGTTGGAAATCAAAGGAGGAATCTCACTATAGACATAACACTACTAAAACTATTTCCCTCCATTAGTAATAAGGTCAATGCAATTTCAACCACCCATTTACACAGAAAACCCCATGCAGGAATGTTTCAGTAGTCTAAATATGTCCCATGATGCTTTTTCCAAAAGGCAACTGGACTTCCTTGATTTTTTTCTTTGAAAACATTTCACTTCTCATTCAAGAAGTATCTTCAGTTCTGAAGTTTCTAGAATGAAAAACGCTTCTTGAATGAGAAGCAAAATGTGTTCAAATTAAAAACCAAGAAAGTCCAATTGCCTTTTGGAAAAAGTACCTTGGGACAACCATGACCTGGACGATTAAGATCATTTTGCTTCTCCATAGACAACTAGTTTGAAAATAAGGTAGATGGTTCAATGATATGCAAGGGTGTCTTGAAGGAGAATATCTAAACTCTGCTTGGCTTTACTCCTAGTACACAGGTCTGTTTTCCAGTGAAGTTATATGACAATGTTGCTGTTTAGAAGTGGAGAGTTGATTTACTACACTGTTTGGCTTGATAAAGCAAAGCTCCATTCAAAATCTGCAGACCACTTGTTCAATTTTTGACAATTCTTATTAACTATGCAATGAAAATTAATGCAATGAAATAAATAAATAAATAAATAAAAACATTTCTCTCAGGGCTTTGCTACTAATGAGCTGATTCTATTTTTCATAATACTTGCAGATAAAAATGATGACTTTTTCTGGGTCAAAAATCACTGGACAGGAGATCTCTACCAGATCAATTCCTTCTCAGCTCTAACCTGGGATGAAGCAAGAAAAAGCTGTCAGCAACAACATTCAGAATTATTGAGCATCAACGAACTATATGAACAAGCATATTTGGCAGGTATCACATAACAAAACATCTCTTAAAAGGCTTCTAAAGGCATTACTGATAATAAATATTTTATCATCTGTAGTAGTAAGCAATTTTAAAAGCTTCATATAAGAAACATAATTTTTCCTCAGAGAAATTATCTTCTGAAAAATATTTGATGCTTTCAAACTGTCTTGCTTTGAATAATCTACTTCCAAGGAACAAGTATTTTGACATAACTGAATTTGGATTCCAAAAATGAAAATTTATCAAATTGATTTGAAATTAATACATAAATATCAATAGAAGAAAATACTTGTAGCTCAGGTTGAATGGTTGAATTCTTGGTGCCCTCTGAACTTGGTTGTTTGCTTGCATATGATTCATTATCTGACTGGGCAAAATCCTTAGTGTGGTGTTTTCTCCCTGTTCTTGGGTTACAGTATTGTTTTCTGCTTAATTATTTTTTATTAATGTTTCCTTATCTGGGTGTTGGATGGATGAAAAGGATATGTTCTGATTTTTTTGTTTCCTTCTTAGCTTTTTAATTGTCACTTTTGAATGGTGTATAAATGTTGTTTATTTCTATTCATCTATTGATGCTGATGTGTCTGCCAAATTTAAAAGAATTCCCTAGCATTTTTAGATTTACTTGATCTAAGATACTCATAGTTTCCCAATAAAACTATGGTTAAGTCTGTTCATGTGTTGTGAGGTTAAGGAGTTTTCATTGTACAGATAGAAAACAATATAAGTAGGTCATGGTCAAATTGATGCACTCTGAGCTTGGTTGTTTTCATGCAGATTAGGTAACATATTCATTGTGCTTTGATTGATTAGGTAACATATTCATTGTGCTTTGATTGTGTCTTCTGACTGCTATTTGATGTTTATGATTGCACTTTGTCTTTTCCCTTTCTGTCCTATATAGTGGTTGCTACAGTCTTTGCGCTATATATAACTATTAAAAGTATAGCTTCAGACCAAGAGAAAGATGATAGTTGTACTTCAGGTACAATTGTACTTTATCTATTTTGTCTTCAGCCTCAGAATTACAGAATCGATCAATATGTGAATTTTCTTTCTAAAATAGGATTAACACAAAATTCAGAAGCCAACTACTGGATTGGTCTTAATAACCCAGATTTTGACAGTGGATGGCAGTGGGCTAATGACCAGCCTTTAAGATATTTAAATTGGGCTCCAGGTGAGTAAATGTATGTAGTTAGAAGGCCATTGGTATTTCATAAAGAAAAGTGTAACATTTAAGGATATTAAGATTAGAATATTTGGAAATTTTTATTGTTCAATCCAAAACAGTTCTGCTTAAATAGGTCAGAGCCGCATTTAAAAACAAAACTTTGTAGTCTTTTTTGTAATGATTAATACATATATAAATTATTGAAATATTTATTATGTTTTTGATTTAATTGACACTTTCTCTAGAAGTGTGCTAGCATTCTTGTATGAAGTATATTAGAAATATATAAACATCATTTTTTACAGTATAGTCGCATTCACTTTTTTCATCACCCTGAAGAGTCCCCTGATCCTGACAGAAAACTCTGAAAAGAGACTCAAATTCAAATTCAAATTTATTTGATTTATATACCGCCCTTCTCCCTTGCGGGACTCAGGGCGGTGAACAGGCACATTAATAAAACAGCAATACCATAATATTTAAAAATATTCAAAACTAATTAAATTATTTGTCCTGTCCTAAAACCCACTATAATAATATAAAATTATACCCAATTTAAAATTTTAGAATTTCAG